CAGCGCGTCTCAGAGGTCTGCTGTGGGGGGGGCAGCTAGTTCGGGGTTCCCTCACCCCTTTCTTAAGTAGGGATCCGATGTAAGTTGGATCCACATAACCCGGGGACTGCCTGTATCTGATAAGCAAAAGCTTATCGGATAGTCGACTAGTTCCTTGACTATTCACTTCTCCCCCACCCCTTTCTGCCTCTATTAAGAGCCTCTGGGCTCTTAGTACATTTAAAGGGCTAAAACCCGACTGCCCTTCAGACCTTTAAATGAATTAAGATCCTGTTAGCTCTTAATACATTTTAAAGTCAGAGCCACAGCAGGTTAGCTGCCGGGACTGGGAGCCAACCCTGCTCCTGCTCCTCTGCTTATCGACTAGTGTCACTAGTCTATGGAAAATCCATAGACTAGTTGATTTAACTATAAATAACATCCCTACTACAGATGTTGCTAAACCAGAAAGTCCCAGATTTCGGAGGAGGCCCCTTTTTCATGTTACAGTAAACTTCCGATAATCCGGCACCTTTGGGACCCAGGGGGTGCCGGATTATCAGATCTGCCGGACTATCGGAAGGGGGGACTATGAGGGGTCTTGGGTGTAGTGGGGGGGATGCGCCCCTCGGTGCTGCGAAACCAACCTGGCAGCACCCCAGCTGCTCTGCTCCAGGCGTCAAGTCAGCCGGGGGCAAAGCAGCTCCAATTGTCCGGCTGCCCGGAGCACTTCCGGGTTCCAGATGGTGCCGGACCATTGGATGCCGAACCACTGGAGTTTTACTGCATCAGGAAAGTAAACTGGAAACAAGCCACTGTTATTCCAAAGAAGACTATTTGCACAATGGAGGCCCCAGGTGTCCCCAAGTCAGACGTTGCTGATACTGATCAGCAGCTGACTCCGGGAAGCCCGAAGCAGAGCTGCTCTGCCTCGGGATTCCTGGAATCAGCCGCTGGTCAGTTTCAGCAGTGGCTGAATCAGGACGCCTGGGGTGCTGCCGGGTTGATCCCGCAGCCCCCAGGAGCAGCGCTAGGGGACCTACCCGGCAGCGCCCCAGCTGCTCTCCCTCCGGCTTCCCTGATTCAGCTGCTGGTCAGTTTTAGCAGCGGCTGAATAGGGGAAGCTGGGGGCAGAGTAGCTCCAATGGTCCGGCTGCGGAGCACTTCCGGGTTCCTGATGGTGCTGGACCATCAGGAGTGCCGGACCGTCAGATGCCGGACCAATGGAGTTTTACTGTATTATAATACTCCAGTATAAGGTATAAGCCACAGCAGCTACAGTCACTTAGTTGACATTTCACTGCTTCCCCATAGGTAGTAAGAGAAACTTGCATTAGATAAAATTCAAATGCAACCAGCTGTCCACTAGCAAATGCTTGTTTTCTACCTGACTTAGTCTCAAATATGCAATGTGTAATTGAAAACTCATGAACTATAGCAGTTGGAAGTGTTTTTATTCCAAACTGATCAGCTCCTGACCAAGTTACATGAATTATAAATTATGAGGATTTCATATCAGAAAGGAAGCTTGTTTATTTAATATAGGTGTTTTTGCTTAGTAAATTGACAAAGCAGCTACACCATCTATTAAATGAACTGTGTATATATAAAGATTAGGGATGTAAAAATTGGTTAAAACCTTTAACCAAGTTAAATTATTACAGTTGTATTGTTGAACCAGTTAATCATGAAATGATGTCACTCTCGTGGGCTGACTAAGGGCAGCTGGGCCTAGGGTCCTGCTAGCCAGGCGCAGTGGGGGTTGCTCCAGGATGGCCTGCCTAGCATTGCCATATCTGGGACTGCTCCTCCTGGCTTAATGCTGGTGGTTGACTACTGAGGTTTGGGCAGGGTCTGGTTAACTGGCATGCATTCCTTAATATTTACCAAATAACCTTGTACATCCCTAATAAATAAATATACTTGTTTTGTTGATTTACCGTGTTCTAAAGTTCTAAACATTTTCAATGAGAAGAACAGTTATTTCAGTCCTAAACTTTGCATATTCATACTAAACCCTAGTGGGAAAGGGGATGAAAAATAGGGAGTCCTCATTAAGAAGTATAACAATAAACGAAAATTGATATATTGAAACTTTCCAAGGAAACTCTAAAAGCTTTTGAATGGTCACTTTTAATATAAATATCAGGAATTGCATATGAAATGACCCAATTCAACTTCAGTTGAAGGAAATAGCCAATAGTTTAATTACCCTAATGTATAACAAATAATTGCTGGAATTTTCAGTTATAAAATCAAATATTTCCTTCAGCACTTTTTCATTTTTTTATTTTTTTGGGGTTGAATAGGTGACTGGTACAATGGTCCTGCAGCTAATCTTGATACGGAACCTGATGAGGAGTGGGTGAAAAATAGAAAAGATGAAAGTCGTGCTTTTCAGGAATGGGATGAAGATGCCGACATAGATGAATCTGGTAGGCAAAAATCTAATATACAATAAATTGCTGTGCAATGTTCCTTTGCAGTTTTTTTTCTAATGACGATGCAAAACCCCCAGTACGTGTAATCATATAACTATAATTTTATACAGAGGCAATGTAGATATCTTCTTTTTAAAAACATCTTCTTTATCATTGATTTTAGTCCATAGATTACAGTTATGAATAAAAGAAGAACATTTTAATCTGGAGTATGTACTTTTACTTTGGGCTAACAGAAAACATTTTGAATGTGTCCAGTTTTTTAATGAATAATTAAAGATTAAGATTAAATTTAATAAAATTTAAAGAACATTGCTGTAGCAGCTCTTGAGTGGTTAGTCAATGTCCTCTACATATTACATGGATATAAATGTTTCCAAACATACTTTTTTTGTGTGTGTTTGTGAGGCATCCACACTGTCCTTTATTAAACAAAATAGTGGCAAGCAGTTACCCTAAACAATGTCTCATGATTTTCACTCTCTGTGAAGTATACAAAACACAGCGCACTCAGACTTTCTTTGTCCACCATTTAATGGTAGCTAAATACTCTGTGTTGTTTTACTGAGGCTTGGATGAATTACGCTCCTATCTCTGTTTTGGCTATCCTGTTTCCATCTGTGTGTTCGGTTCAGCTTGAGTTGAACATTGCAAAGGGGCAAGACCATAGTTTATTATTTTTTAAAATCTCTGTTTTTAAGAAGTTCCCCATCTTGAAGATGGATACCAATTGGATTCACTCTGCTGAATACAAGTTCCAGTATAAAACTCATTTTAAAAATGTATTGCTATTTTCTGGTTTTTAGTTTCTCAGTTCTGCTTGATCTAAAGGTGCTCTACAAAATATTGACTTCAATGACGCATAATAGTTTTCTTTTCTTTACTACTGGCCCAGAGTCAGCAAATTTGTCTCTTTTTAAACAGCATCTATGATTCTTGCCTTTGAAACCTGTAGCTGGTTACTGCAACATTTTCTACTCAGAATTACTAATGGAAAAAAGAATTGGCTGTTTCAGTTAGTATAGTAAGCTTTGTTGTTTGGACCAAGTAATGCCTGGTATTCTGCATTTCACCAGTTTGTCTCTAGGTTTTGAAGTTTTGGAAGCAACCTGTAAAACCCCAAATGGTGTAGAATCTGAAAGAAACATTTTTTCTGTGCAATGTTATGATAGTTTTCTATTGGATTGGTTGCTTTTGTTTCCTGGGGTTGATTTCTATAGGACAGCTAATAAGATCGACAAGTAGAAAAATCACTCTCCTGGAACCTATTTCCCAGAGTTTAGCAAATTATAAAGTGCATTATTAAACATGTGTTTTGCTAAACTTTTCACTTGTATCCATATTTTTAGGTACAAGTATTTTTCCTGCGGGTGTGTCTGTGTGTGTTGCTGATCAGAGTACTATGGCAGCAGTGTCCTTTGGGTCCACACATGTGTTCTCCTTGTGGTGTGCCATGAGCTTAGCCACGCTGTGTGAGCTAACCATTCCAGTTCCTTCTTAACTAGAGGCGGAGCTATTATCAATCTGTTAAGGCTACAATTCTTCTGTTTGCAGCTTACAGTTAGTTTTCTACAGTTCTAATTGTATTTCTGTTTGTTCATTTTACCTACCTTGCAAAAAACTAAAATCACCCCCACAACCTTTTTACTTTTCTTCCTGTCCTTTTCTCCCTTAGGGACTTCCCCTTTGCAGATTATGCCCATCTCCCTGGGCTTCAAAAAGTGCCACACTTGCATAAGGTGTTCTTGGTTGCAGAAAAGTGCACTCAGTGCATTTGTTGCTTTGGTGAGGGCCAAAAACAGTAAGTTAAGTTCACCTTCAGCTAGCAGCTCTGAGTGAGATCCTGAAAGGATAGAGAGTTCTGCCAGAAGATTATATTCATGGAGTTAGCTCTATAACCTCAATCTTCTAGCAGACAAGCTAGGGACTCCTCTTGTAAGTCCTTCTAGAAAAGAGCGGGGAAGTTCCCTAAGTGAGTCTAGAGATAGCTGCGAGTGACATTTTCAGCAACACTGGCACCAAGATCACAGTCGAACACCCACGTATGACAACTGTTGAGTACTAGGCCCACATAGAGTATGAGCAAGGGTACTGATTTTTTGAGACAGAGACACAAGAACAAGCACAAGGAGATGCTCCCAGTATATGAGTCTACCTTGGTACTACCAGTGGCAATTCACCCAGTACCGGAGAGACTGGGACAGGTATTCTCCCCTGGCACTGTTACAGCCACTGGGATATTTGGTACCTGCCAAAACTGTGAGCAAACACTGGCTTGGGTGGCTCCCAACTTGCAAGTGAGCAGGCAAAAAATATTATGTCCCTGAAAATAAATCAGTCTTCCTTTTTCCCTCCCAATTCCATCAGGATAGATGCTGTCAATTCTCATGGCCAGTAACACCAGTCCAGAGCTTCACTCCTATCCACCATCTGACAGGGATTGGTAATACTAGAGATGTAAATGACTAGTCGACTACCTGATCAGTATATGCTGATCAGGTAGTTGAGTAGTAAGTTGACTAGTTCCTCCCACTCTCCCCCGCTCCCATTACCAGAGAGAAGCAGCAAGCTGGGGGGAGCAGGAGCCTGTGCTGGGGGGAACTTGCTTAAGAGCTGGTTCCCTCCAGTACTGTCTCCACAGGGAGGGGGGCAGGGGAAGTAGAGGCACGGCAGGGAAACAGCACGAGCAGGTCCAACTGCTATGCCTCTCCTGTTGAAATGTAGCAAGAGTCCTTTAGGACTCTTGCTACATTTCAAAGGGAGAGGCAGAACCCCAGGTGAGTGGAGACCACACCCCATGGGGCTCTTGCTACATTTCAAGGCTGAGACGGAACCCCAGGCGAATGGGAACTGCCTGAGTCCCCACTGCTCTTCTGCATTTTAAATGTAGTAAGAGCCACCGTTGGGCAGCTCTTACTACAGTAGACTTCTGATAATCCGGCACCTTTGGGACCTAGGTGGTGCCGGATTATCAGATATGCTGGAGTATCAGGAGGTACTGCATTCTCTCAACCCAATCCCCCTCCCACCCGCACCCCCAACCGGACTATTGGAGTTTTACCGTATATTTAAAAGGCAGAGGTGCAACAGGGATAGCAAGCATGCCAACCCCACCCCTTATCAATTAATGGAAATTCCATGGACTATTTGATTAGTTGATTAATTGAAATTTAACATCCCCTGGTAATACCTTGCTCCTTTGGCAGGAAGACATTTTCCTCTGCCACCTTGTAATTCTGTGTCGCCAACTATCTAACACTCATGACCAAATATAATTACAAATTATAATAAATTCAGTGACTTTATTAACAAATTACCTGAAGCACTTCAGGCTTCCTTTAAAGGAGTCATGGAACAGGGTTAGTTAGTATCAGAAATATCATTACAATTGGCTCTTGGTGCTATCAACAAAGCAGCTACAGCCATCTCTATAGTGGTATTGATGTGATAGGCATCATGGCTCCAAAAGTTGGATTTCCAAAAGAGATGCAGTCCATTGTGGAAGATCTTTTTTGAGGGCACAGAGCTCTTTGCCCAGAAGAAAGGCACATATCTTAATACCTTAAAGTATTCCAGGGCTACCGTGAGGTCAATGAGAATCTATAAACCTTTTTAGCCCCCATTATCAACCTCAACATTTCAAACTTCAGAGAAAGGGGGAATTCCTGAAGCATGATCCTTGTTCCACTCTTTGCAGGTCTGGGTGTCACAAAACGCCTGCACTTAGTCTCCACAAGCAGACTCCAAGAAAGCCCACAAAGACCACAAACCAGATAAGATCGAAGGTGCCAGGCCAGGTTTATTGTTAAGCGAAGTACAGTAATAGATGTCAGTAGACTCTTCTAAAACACTATGCATATATACCCTGTAGCAATGGAATGACTCAATCAGTGGGAAATTCCCACTGCCACCTAGGTCATCCAGAGACACCACCTTATATACATGTACAACTAATCACACCTCACTGCTGATGTAACAGGTCACCACCCTCTGACGTTGTCAGGTCACCATCCTCTGACGCTACTTAGATACCACCTATCGCCCTGTACCTCATGGGTTTGATTAGATCAGTACTCCCCAACCTTTCGTGGCTGCCGGGCATCTGGGGGTGGGACTGCTCATGTGCTGTGCTTCCAGGGGTGGGGCCATGCATGCGCTGCATGCCCAGGGGTGGGGGCCACCTACGTGCCCTGAGCCTAGGGCTGGCACTGCGCATGTGCCGTGCACCCTGGGCAGGGGCCGCCCGCGCACCCTGGGGCAGGGGCCAGCACTGCACGTGCCGGGGGTAGTGGCCGCCCACACGCCCTGAGCCCTGGGCTGGCATCGCGCATGTGCCGCACGCCCAGGCAGGGACCGCACCCGGGGCCGGCACCACGCATGTGCCATGTGCCGGGGGGCTGGGCCAGCCCAGATATTTCAGCAGGCGCACATAAATGCCCCAGCGGGCGCCATGGCGTCCGCGGGCACCGCGTTGGGGACCACTGGATTATATCATCTTTATCCATCATGCTGTCATTTTAGACCTTTTCTGAACCTGGGTCTGTATCTGTGAGGAGCAGGTAACAAGGTCTTTTGTAATGAGCGTGTGATTTCAACTTATGACCAGTACCAATTATTGCTCTGCAGTTGGTACCTAGCACCGATTAGTTTTTTGCACTCTTAGCCCTGTTCATGCCAAGTTCTGTGAGCAGCAGTTCTTGCTTACAGTTTAGCTTTCCTTTAGGTTAGCCATATTTTATCTATTGTTAGCTAGGCGTCAGGCCTCAAACCAGGCCTGTGCTACATGGGCTTTTCTTTTAGGCCTCTATCTTACTACACCAGTGACTCCAACTGTGGTTCAATTTGGTTTACAGAGTGGACAGGGATAGGCCGGATGAACCACTGTCACTTCCCACTCTCTAAATCTATCTAAATTTATTATTAACTCTTATATTTCTCTTTGGTTTATTTTACAGAAGAGGCTGCAGAAGACTTGCTTGCAATTAACGTAGCACAGATGGAAAAGCATTTACTCCATGGCTTAATTCATAATGTTCTCCCACATGTAGGCACTTCAGTGAAAACACTAGTATTAGCCTACAGCTCTGCAGTTTCTAACAAAATGGTATGTATTTTCAGCATTAATAGTTTAAGTATGAGGATGCAGGGTATAATTGGTAATATATAATTGGCTTCAGTTTGTATTGTCAGTGAAGTTGAACTGCAGCACAGATGAGCAATCATTTGCATCTTGGCTGTGAGATTGTTTAATTTTCTAAGTTTTTTGCATTTTCTTTATTTTTACATATCCTTTACTAGGTTAGACAGTTCTTGGAACTTTGTCCTAACTTGGAACATCTGGATCTCACTCAAACTGATATTTCAGACTCTGCATTTGAAAGGTTAGTTATTTGATTTTAAAAACTTTACATCTGTACATTTTTCTAGTAAAAAACAAATCCAAACCCACAACAATACAACGATTAGCATAATAATTATACTTAGAATATGCATTCAACCATAATCAACAATTAAACTAAAACAACATTAAAGAAGGGAGGATCAAGGCAAACTGCTGCCTGGATCCAGCCAATGCTACAGTATCAGGGGCTAAAATTGTATGTTCTAACAGCATGAATATAAATATAAATTAATGGAGATTGCCTGTCTCCTAGAACTGGAAGGGACCTTGAAAGGTCATCGAGTCCAGTCCCCTGCCTACACAGCAGGACCAAGTACTACTTATGTATGTCATAAGTATGAGGCTGATGAAGGTTACAAGCTCTTATGATTTATGATGGTGGATTTATGTAACCCCTGAACAAAAGATTCGTTAGCAGAACATTTAAGGTCTCTTCCAAATTTCGAGGTGGGGGCAATCCTCTGTAACATGCTAAAAGATTTCATTGCTTCTTCATGAGCATATAGAGCTTCTGTGAGCGGTGCTGGTCCTCTGGAAGTTCTCTACTTGCAGAGCTTGTAACTCCTATGAAATTATGTCAAGCATCTGACAAATTACAATCCCTACCAAGGTATTTGGAAGGTTTCAGCTAACATTTTTTACCTTAAAAACAAGGACCAAATCTCGTGTTTTCTGATTTCAGAGTATATTATCTTTTCCAAGTTTGCCAGCTCACTCAAGCCATTGTGTGAACTGATAGTATTCAAGTTGCTTGCTAATTTCCAGTAAATTAGGACAGCTTTTTTGACAAGTGTATTTATTCAGTCAACAAGAACTACTTTTTAGAATTGTTCAACCACTCAGATGTCCAGTAGCTTCAGTTAGTCTTAAAAATCATTTTGAAATTTATTAAACAGAAGTCCTGGACCCCTGGAGACTTAAATGTTGGCAATTATGCCAATAATAAATAATATTGCTGAGCATGTTTCATTCCATGTTTTTTTTAAGATATCCTTACTCTTTTTAGACATTTATAAAGTGCTTCTCACTGTAGTATTAATGCCAAATCATATTTTTAAATTTCACTTTTCTGTCCCTTCAGAGCCAAGGCACATGTAATCACTTAGCCCTGGTCTACACTAAGGAGTTATTTCAAAATAACAAGTGGAGCATCCACACTAGCAAGCCCATTATTTCAAAATAATAACGCCTGATTTCCATGAGGAATAACACTTATTTCGAAATAGCAGTAGTGTGGACACTCCACTGGTGCTGTTTAGAAATAACTGCTCCCCAGAGTCGTTCAAAGTAATTGCTCCTTTCTAAATGGAGATAGTACATTCACATTAAGGGAGCCTGCCTCGTACTAATTTCAGGACTTTCCTACAGTGTCAACACACTATTTCAAAATAGTTACTGTGGGAGATATTTCAAAATAAGTTATTTTGAAATAATTTCCGAGAGTAGACATGCCCTTAATGAATTAAGATTAATATATAACTTGTGCAAAAGTTGGGAAACTATCTGTCCGTGTTTTGTTCATTAAGAGCCTTTAGAAACATACGTAGAACTGCATGTTCAGTTTATCCTTTTCTGATTTCAGTTGGTCATGGATTGGTTGTTGTCAGAGTCTTCGCCATCTTGATCTGTCTGGTTGTGAAAAAATCACAGATGTGACCATGGAGAAGATTTCAAGAGCTTTGGGTATCCTGTCAGCTCAGAACAGCAAAAGAGTTCTGAAGAGTTGCAGAAACAGAAGTGCAAAGACTGTGTGGAGAAACGAAGACATCACCATACAGTCCCATAGGAAATATAGTTTGCATGATATAACTAATGAAACTCTTATTAAGGAAGAAGGTAATGAGAATTATTGGACTAAACCTGTCAGCTTGGAAAGTTTCAGCTCTGCCTATGTCTGGATGCTAGATGCAGATGATCTGGCTGATATTGAAGATGCTGCAGGGCGACCCAGAAATATTGAGGGACTTTGTGTTGTGGAACCAGCATCCAGTCTTAGTTGTTCATCATGTTACAATAAAGACATTATTGGACTAAGGACTAGTGTCTGTTGGCAGCAGCATTGCGCTTCTACTGCCTTCACTTACTGCAGTCACTCATTTTGTTGTGCTGGGGTAGCACTAAAAACTATTCAAGCACTCCCAGAGTCCTCTGCACTGTGTAAAAAATCAACAAGGACTAGACAGTCAGAGGGAAAAGACTTTGCATACTCTGGGAGTGAAAAATCAGACCAAGAGACTGCACGAGTTCTTCAGTTCCTCAGCCTGTCTGGATGTTATCAGATCACAGACCATGGTCTCAGGTAAGTAGCCATTTTTGAGGTACAATAGCCATCAGAGAATTTCTTAGCCTTTTCTTTCTTGAAAGTTATCAAATGTGATGAGGAAGATATCAGAGTCCTTTTACACAAGATTAGCCTTGCAAGATGAGATCGTATGCAGCTTAACATAAGGCTTTCAAACAAAGGTTGCCTCTGTGGCATCACAATATATATTTCCAGATGCTTAAGTTGCTGCTCTGTCTGAGTGGAGGACAGAGCTCCTTTCCCTATTTCTGGTTGAGAATCATCAAAATACATAATGATTTAAACAACACCCACTCCTTCCTTTGAGAAGACGGAAAGCCACTGATGTGGCAGAATACTGTAGATCAGTAACTTTTCTATAAGGTTTCTGTAGTGTATTGATCTGTCTTCAACATACTGCACATTTAAAGATTTATTATGAAGTTGTGCAAATACAGATGTCATGATATAAACTCTCACCCAAACTTGAAAATTTTCCTGTTGACCTAATTTTCTGAGCTGTGAGCAATAAATTTCTCTCACTGGTTTCAGTAAATAGGTAGATTCTTAAATACTAGTTTAGGAATCCAAGTTTTAAAACTCAGTGTATAAAGGCTCACATTAAGCAGATAATTAAATACTACAACTTGAATTAAAGTAGCATTAAGAACATACCATTTAAAATTATTAAAAGTTGCAGTTGCAATAGCTACTTTAATTTAGTCTTATTGCATATATGTAATTTTCTATTTTTGTTTACACACATGTAAAATTTTAGTTTTTACAAAATTTATCTAAAAGGAGCACCTATCATTTGCCCTATTTATCAGGTAGTAGTGCTACATCGTAGTACTAAAACCAGTACTTGAGTTAAGCTTGGACTTGCGGCTTTAAAATTGTACTCCTCTGTTAAATTGAGAGCCTACACTGATGTTAAATGAAGGTTCTGTGGGTAGATCAGTGGGTTCTGTAGAAGAACTGCACCTTTCTCTTGTGTAGCTAGAGGACCTATCCAACCTCTAGAAGTTGTTGTTCGGAGATAAAAAATTGGGAACAGTTCCACAAATTGAGTATCTCTGGCTAAAGTAATATATTTGGAGGGCATTGTTTGGTTCTGGATTTTCTGAAAAACTAAGGTTGACTTCTGGCTCCAACAAGGCAATCAGATACTCTTTGGATTGAGCCTTGGCAGGAGTTCAAATGTTGGTGCAGAGTAAGAATGTTAAGAGGTGGGTAATTCGCTAATTGTGTAGTCAATAGAATTTTATCAACTCCATGATTAGTTGCTAAGGGAAGAAATGCTGAGTCTCGGCTCGCGCCGGGTCCAGGATCTACCCCTGCTGCAGCTCTGCAGTTTAAATGTGGTAAGAGCTGGGTGGGCAGGCAACCTGACTCCTCCTACATTTAAATTGCAGAGCCACAGCAGGGGTACGTCTAGGCTTATCTGTTAGTCAACCTCTTGCTGACATCCCTAGTGCAGAGTTGACTGAAGAATTTTGTTCTGATCTCTGCTGGATGTAATCTTATAACAGGAAGCCACTCAGCCTAGTTGCTGGGACAGTCTGGATCATCCCTTTTAAAGGAAGAGTGTCCAAAAAGGCACGTTGTGTAAGGAAAAGAAGCAACTCTGGTTTTGTTTTTCTAATTGGTTTAAGTAATAATTTTGCTTTAGCATCTGTAGTAGGTACTCCTTGTAATAAGCAGAGGGAAGCTCAGGTATTAATTTACATACTGAAGTATCGTCATCTAATTACAGCTGGTCCCCGACTTACGAATGAGTTATGGACCAAACACTTGGTCGTAACTCCCAAGTGTTCATAAATCGGACCCCATTCATTTATATGCGACCATGCTGTTTGTAAGCGCGGATCGCATTCGTAACTCAGGGACCGCCTTTACGAACACTTAATGGGAGGGTTTGGTCGTAAGTACGAACAGTCGTAAATCGACCGTTCGTAACCTGGGGACTGGCTGTATTGAAAACAAAATTGGCAAGGTCAAGGCTGACCATTGCATTAAGGGCTCCTTTGATATTTTTTTTTAATGAATATATGAGCATTGAGAGAGGAGTGTTGACATAAGGCATCACTTTCCCTTGTGTCAATGTTAACATTGCTCCATATTAGAAAATCCATGAATTTGGCAACACAAATGAAGAATATGCAATGACTGCAATCCAGTTCTTTGTTCTGTCTTAACATGTTTTGACTTTCTCTTTGATCGTAGGGCGTTGACTCTGGGAGGAGGACTGCCACATTTGGAACACCTTAATCTCTCTGGCTGTCTTACTATTACTGGTGCAGGCCTGCAGGATTTGGTTGCTGCATGCCCTTCTTTAAACGATGAACACTTTTACTACTGTGACAACATTAACGGTAATGTCTTTTTGTACAGTACATGATAACCTTTGGGGGCGCAAAGTTTAAAAATCCACCCAAATCAGACTTTTTTGTAGTATAGCAATGAGTTCGGTGATTTATTAGGTTAGCTTTCACCCCAATTTCTTCGGTTTGTTATGCTGGATTTTTTAAAAAATTGAAATTGTTTCCGAGCATATGTACCCCAAAGTGTAAATCCAAACCCTCAGTGGTATTGCTCTGTTTTGGTGATTACTGTGGTCATGTAGGCCCATGAGTCTGAGGCTAAGCGCTGGTAACAGGGAGGAGAGATTGTATTGGTCAATGTGCATAACAATCCATGATACTAAAGCATTGATGTGTGCATGTTCACACAAAGCACCACCTTCTTTTGTGTCCATGCTAATAGTAAGATGCTTTGTATGTTTCACTTCCTCCTTTGTGGAGGATGTGAGGATAGTTTTGTGTTGGTTTTGTTCCTTACTAGCTCACAGTAGTACCAAGAGAGTGAATTAAGCTTTGTACAGAGAATTAGGTTCCAATCTCACTTTAGAGAAACTGGTTGGTTGGTTTGTAAATGTTTGAGTATAACTGAAGAATTTGGGTTTCTCTGAGGGGAATGTTTGACTTTTCGATTTTTGCTTTAGTTATTTTCACTGCATGTTCTCAGTACTGTCTCCTCTACATTGACTTCTGCCCACCTTATGCTAATGAGGAGACAGATAAGCCACAGTGACCCAATATGCCTATTTTGATAACAGTGAGAAGTGCAGAGCCTCAGAGAACAGTTGCAGCTATTGTTATGCATTTAGTGTAGGTGAATGAGTGTCTTAAGACCATTTAAAAAAACCTTTTGTCATCTTCCCTCAATTGTCTTTATTAAATGTAGATTTTGAAGACTTGCTGTAAAGGACAGGTCCTCAGATAATAGAGGAGTATTTCACTTCTCTAAAATGTGAGCAGTTAGGTTCTCATAATGGTAGATATACTTGCCCAATCATCTCATCCTCCTTTTGGGATTATTTGGTTAGAAATGGGGCTAAATTGGGGGGAATCTTGAGGGCTCTGTGAACTAATGAGTGTGTATACTAGACTATTTTATTGTTGTAACACTCAAAAGCTTCAGTCAGAATTGAGTCCCACTGTGCCTGATGCATTAAAAATTCATATGAAGTAGGGATGTTAAATTTAGTTTAATCAACTAATCAGCAAGTCGATGGATTTTCTAGCAGTTTGTCGATAAGTGGGGGAGCTGCAGCGGGGTTAGCTCCTAACAGCTGAAGCGCAGCAGGGATGAGGGGGACCAGCATGAGCTGGGCCAGCTGATTCCTGGCTTGCGCTGTGCTTTAGCCTTTAATGTAAAGGCCTGGAGTGCAGTGGGGAACCCGGCATAAGCTGGGAATCAACAGTCCCAGCTTGCGCCAGGTCCCCCACTCCTGCATTTCTGCTTTTTAAAGGTATTAAGAGCTGGTAGTACATTTAAAAAGCAGAGGCACAACGTCTGGGACTGGGTGCGAGATGGGAATCTGCTGATTCCCGGTTTATGTTCAGTTCCCTGCTGCCTCCCCTGCCCTTGCAGAGGTGGTGCTAGGAGAAACTGGCTTTTGAGATGGCTCCTCCCAACTCCGGCTCTGCTCCCCTCCCTTTCTGCTGTCTCTGATAGAGGCAGCAAGGAGGGTGAAGCAACTAGTTGAGAGACTAGTTGACTATCTGATAAACTTTTGCTTATCGGATAGTTGACTAGTCTCTTATATCCCTAATATGAAGTTATGGTTCCTGCCCCTAATGCTTTGCTCTCTGATACAGTCAAAATGCAACAAGTAAGTGTAACAAAAGAGAGGAGGCCAGGGAGGAGAATATTACACAGTTATATAACTTATTTAACTCTGTAATATTGAGTGAGATAACACAGTTACATAAACTAACTGCATACTTTGATGATTGTGAATTACTTAATTGTTCTTTAAAAATCAGAAATCCCCACTGTATTTATGTAACATCATCTGTATAGCGCTTTTCATCCTGAAGCCACGTTACTTTATCTCTGTGGCAGAGCTGTAACAGTAGAAGCAAAGCTAAGATGAAAAGTTAAGTCTAATCTGACTTCCATTGAACTACATCTGACTACATTGACCTCAACTGGAATGGGATAGGATCCTAATACTGGAGGTAAAGGTAGGGATGTCAGTGTGTAGATGACTATATGATTAACTGACAAGCCCAGGCTTACCAGTTAATCCTGTCAACTACACGCATTCCATCCCCCTTGCTGCCTCTGTATCAGAGGCAGCGTGGGGGGGGGGGGGGGGGGCGGGGGGGTGCCGGCG